TTGGTAATAAATTTAATACAATTTATATTGCAAATGTGAGCATATAAATTGCAATTAATAATTTCGTTAAATTAAACCAAATTATTGTTAGTTTTTGTATATTGAATTTTCTAATAAGTTTAATGCAATCTTAATATCGTAAATGTCACAATATAAATTGTAATTAATAATTTTATTAAATTAAAGCAAATAATTATACATTTTTTAAAATTGAATTGTCTAATAAATTTAATACAATTTATTTTGCAAATGTGACCATATAAATAGTAATTAATAATTTCGTTAAATTAAACCAAATAATTGTACATTTTTGTAAATTGAATTTGGTAATAAATTTAATACAATTTATATTGCAAATGTGAGCATATAAATTGTAATTAATAATTTTATTAAATTAAACCAAATAATTGTACATTTTTGTAAATTGAATTTGGTAATAAATTTAAGACAATTTATATTGCAAATGTGAGCATATAAATTGTAATTAATAGTGTCATTAAATTAAAATAAATAAATATGAATTATTGTAATTTGAATTTGAAAATAAATGTAACACAATTTATATTGCACATGTGATCATATAAATAGTAATTAATAATTTCGTTAAATTAAACCAAATAATTGTACATTTTTGTAAATTGAATTTGGTAATAAATTTAAGACAATTTATATTGCAAATGTGAGCATATAAATTGTAATTAATAGTGTCATTAAATTAAAATAAATAAATATGAATTAATGTAATTTGAATTTGAAAATAAATGTAACACAATTTATATTGCGCATTTGATCATACAAATAGTAATTAATAGTATCATTAAATTGAAATAAATATTGTCAGGTGAATTTCGAAATAAATTCAGTATAAATTGAATTGCAAATACTATGATGTAAATTGTAATTAATAATGTCATTAAAATAAAGCAAATAATTTAAAATTATTGTAAATATTAAGATATTATAATTTGGGACTCTACAAATAATAATTTGTAATAATCTGTGATGGTTTGTAATTTGTGATATTTTTGTAAATTTTGCTGCTTTTCATCATTTTTCTGATGATATGATAATGAGTTATGATAACACAATATGATGATAATATGACTGTAGTATGATGATATAAATAGATGATAAGTTGATACTATGATACATTATGATAATTTGATGGCTAGTGACTATATATTATGATGATGCAATGATATGATAAATTTATGTTATGTTAATATGTTATGATAATATGATAATATATTGTAACTGTACAAAGATATTACAACAGGTTATCCTTGTATAATAACAAGTTATAATAATGATGTTATGATAATGCATTATGATGACAGGATGTGATGATAATATGATACTAGTATGATAACGATACAATGATGTGATGAATTGATGCTATGATATGGTAAATCATACTACACAGTGAGAACTCATACTTGTACAATCACAAGCTATAATAATAACATTATAATAATACATTATGTTGACAGAACATGATGATAATATGATACTAATATGATAACGATACAATGACGTGATGCATTGATGCTATGATATGGTAAATCATACTACACAGTGAAAACTCATACTTTTACAATAACAAGCTGTAATAATAATATTATAATAGTACGTTATGTTGACAGAACGTGATGATAATATGATACTAGTATGATAACGATACAATGATGTGATGAATTGATGCTATGATATGGTAAATCATATTACACAGTGAGAACTCATACTTGTACAATCACAAGCTATAATAATAATATTATAATAGTACGTTATGATGACAGAACGTGATAATAATATGATACTAATATGATAACGATAGAATGATGTGATGAATTGATGCTGTGATATGGTAAATCATACTACACAGTGAGAACTCATACTTGTACAATAACAAGCTATAATAATAACATTATAATAATACGTTATGATGACAGAACGTGATGATAATATGATACTAATATGATAACGATAGAATAATGTGATGAATTGATACTATGATATGGTAAATCATACTACTCAATAATGACATGATGCTGTGAGAACTCGTACAGTAACAAGCTATAATAATGATATTACAATAATAGGCTATGATGGTAGGACATGATGATAATATGATAGTAATGTAATGATGATACAATAATGTTATGAATTGATGCTACGATATGTTAAAATCATATTACATAGTAATGACGTGATGCTGTAAAAACACACTCTTGTACAATAACAAGTTGTAATAATGATGTTATGATAATATGTTATTCTGACACAATATAACAGTGATCTGATGACGATACGACGATATGATGAATTCGTATAGTGATATGATATGGTAAAATCATATTGCAGAATAGCGACATGATGACAACACATACTTGTACCATAACAAGTTATCATAATATGATAGCATGTAGTGACTATGCAAAGTTATGAGAGCACGTTTCGCTCGTATGATAACAAGTTATAAGAATGATGTTATCATAATACTTTATTATGACACTATATGATACTAATATGATAGTAATATGATGATGATATAACTATATGATGAATTGATGATAATACACTATTCCAATGCGGCATTATGATAACGTGACGATGTAAAAACTTGACGATACCAATACTTGTCTATACAAAGACTTGATAACAAAATGGCCGAATTCCTACACTTTCATCACTCCCAAATTCACATCCCAGTCAAATTAAACAAAATGAAGGTTCCTCCAGAAGAATCTCCCACCGTATTTTTATTAAAAGACAAAAACGAGAAAGGAAAAGAAAGATGAGTATTTCGTGTCCCCTTCAGCGAGAAAGGTGGTAAATTTCGATGGTAGTCCCGATAATCCCATCCCTTGTAAGCCAACTCCTTGTATCTTTCAATTACGTGCCCGGGATGGAAGATCCTGTCGGAGCGATACGAAAAAGGAAGATAGATAGTCGTACGTCCCGTTGACGTTTCCAGTTTCTGTTCCGTGGATGGGTTTCGTTTTGCAGCCAGCACGAAAACTATCCACGGATTGGAAACGAGAAACTCGCGGCCCTGGCGCGTGTCCAACTTCACTCTTTTCCTCCAGACAGGCCACTCTCGCGACTACGGTAATACTTACGAGGAACGTTTTGTTTTATGCCGGACATTTTGCGCCGACGTGTTTAAACATATCTCGGAACGCGGACAAAGCTTCGCCTTCCGCTTCCTGGGACTTCTTGCAGCGCGCACGTGCACGCGTTATTTTAATTCCAGACGCCTCGCCGGCGACATATTTCCAGAATCTTCCGGGGCGAACCTCTTTTTTGCGAAGTGTTTTCCGCGGACGAGCAAGCTTATAGATGGCGTGTCGGAGCGGAGGATGCACTTATTTGGATGTTGCGCTGGCAATTGATTTGGGAAGGTGCATTGTGGGATCTAGGGTTGCGGGTAGGGAGTGGTTTGAGTATGGGTGGAGTGTGGATTTTAGGTGATCTTGAATTTTTGGGGATTGGAGGATTTGGGTTTTGGGATTTTGGGGATTGGAGGATTTGGATTTTGGGATTTTAGGATTTTGGGGATTAGAGGATTTGGGTTTTGGGATTTTTGGGGATTGGAGGATTTGGGTTTTGGGATTTTGGCGATTGAAGGATTTGGGTTTTGTGATTTTGGGGATTGGAGGATTTGGGTTTTGGGATTTTGGGCATTGGAGGATTTGGGTTTCGGGATTTTAGGGATTGGAAATTTGGGTTTTGGGATTTTGGGGGTTTGAGGATTTGGGTTTTGGGATTTTGGGGATGTAGGAATTTGGGTATTTGGCAATTTGGGAATATGGGAATTTGAGGATATAGAAATTTGGAGATCTTGGAATTTGGGGATTTTGGAATTGGAGAAATGGGAATTTGGGGGTTTTGGAATTGGAAAAATGAGAATTTGGAGATATGGTAATTTGGGGACATGAGAAATAGGGGTTATGAGAATTTGGGCATTTTGGAATTCGGAAAATGGGAATTTGGAGATTTCGGAATTAGGGAAATGGGAATTTGGGGATTTTGGAATCAGGCAAATGGGAATTATGGGATATGGAAATTTTGAAATTTAGAAATTTGGAAAGTTGAAAATTCCACAATTTACAAATTGGAAAATTGGAAAAATTTACAAAATTGCAAATTCGAGAATTGGAGAATTAGAAAATTGGAAAACTGGAAAGTTGGAAAATTACAAAATTGCCCATTGGAAAATTGAAAAATAGGAAAATTGAGAAATTGAAAAATTATTAAATCAGAAAATTAGGAAATTGGAAAAATGGAAAATTGGAAAATGGGAAAATTTGATAATTAGAAAATAGGAAAATTGGAAAAGTTGAAAGTTGGAAAATTGGAAAATTGGAAAATTACAAAATTGCCAATTAGAAAATTGAAAAATAGGAAAATAGGAAATTGAAAATTTATTAAATCAGAAAATTAGAAAATTGGAGAATTGAAAAATTATTAAATTAGAAAATTACAAAATTGCAAATTGGGAAATTGGGAAATTGGAAAATAGGAAAATTGAGAAATTGAAAAATTTTTAAATCAGAAAATTAGGAAATTGGAAAAATGGAAAATAGGAAAATTAGATAATTGGAAAATTGGAAAATTGGAAATTTACAAAATTACAAAATTGCAAAACTAAGGTTAGAAAAATTAGAAAATTGGAAAGTTGAGAATCTTGAAACTTGGGAATTTAGAAATTTTAAAATGACAAACATTAAAATTTGAAAATTTCAGAGTTTTGAAATTTATGAATGAACTATAAAACTTCATAATTACTAGTATAGTGATCGTTATTATTTATTAAAAATTTACTAATATTAAAACTTGCATAATATCTTATATAATTAAACAAGCTTTATATAATTATTTGAAATGTTTTATTATATTTAAAATTACATGAACTATCTATTTCATTTTTTTTTCAATTCCCTCTGAATATATTGCAGTGAATATTTATTTAATGCAAAATTATTTTTTTTTTGTTGCAGATCCGCCTATAGTAACGATGCAACCGGAAAATGTTACTGTCAACGAAACCGAAGATTTTATAATATTTTGTGATTACGAGGCCAACCCAGCAAGCTTGACAAAAGTAATATGGTGAGTTAATTTTCAATTTATAAATAAACAATTTTACGTAAAATCATTATATTATAAATTATAACAATATTATAATAATATTCAAATATTAAATAATATTTTTAGTAACATATAATATTTTTAACAAAATATTTTTCAAACATTTTTATTTTTTATTATTTAATACTGTTTTTAGATCTACATTTTTTTAGTAAGTTAAATAAACATTTTTATATTTAGAATCACATTTCAAGCAATCGTCACAATTATTATCACAAAAATAGATGATATTACGATACATTTTTCATAACCATAAATCTCTCCACTCGCGATTTTCATTTTCGAGATAAACATTTTAAAAAACCGTTAAGGTAAACGTATAAGTTCCAATAAAATTCAGTACGATATAAATCACCTTCCATAAATGAATTTCATCTGTATAATTTGTGTCGTTCATGAAAACGTGACATATTAAAAAGTACTGAATTTATCGATACGGAAACAATCAAACGGCATACACGAATAAATTTTATTCGGAATAAAATGCGTTGCGTTCGTGGTAAATTACCGTACTCGAGATTGAAACTAGGTACATCATAAACGAAATTAACAAATTTTACTACTTTTTATTTTCGTGTTACTAAGGTTCTTAATTTTTTCAAATTTTAAATTTTCAAGATTCAAAATTAATTAATTTTTTAATTTTTCAGGTTTTCAAGTTTTCAAGTTTTTAAGTTTTTAAGTTTTTAAGTTTTTAAGTTTTTAAGTTTTTAAGTTTTTAAGTTTTTACGTTGTTAAGTTTTTAAGTTTTCAATTTTTCATTTTTCCAATTTTTCAATTTTTTATTTTTTCAAATTTTCAAGTTTTCAAGTTTTTAAGTTTTTAAGTTTTTCAAATTTTCAAATTTTCAAATTTTCAAGTTTTCAAGTTTTCAAGTTTTCAAGTTTTCAATTTTTTAATTTTTCAAATTTTCAAGTTTTCAATTTTCCCATTTTCCAATTTTCAAATTACCAAATTATCTAATTCAAAACACCAGGAACGAGTAACCTCCACATTAACCTTCCATCTTCCCAACTTCTGAAATCCCCAAATCCCCAACTTACCTAAACTCCCAAAGCTAACAGCTAACAAATTCCATAAATCCCCCAACAAACTATTACACTTAATCAATAATTTCAATCCGATTACACTTCGCATTCGAAAGCTCTCTCTGTAAAACACTCCACTACCACTATCTGCCAATAAAAAGTCCCTGAATAAATACCTAACTCAACATTAACCTAACTAGATAAAAAACTAACTTCCCCTCGAACGCTATATAATTCCCTTTTCTGGTGATTTTATCAAAAATCTGCTACATTGATTATTCATAGAACGTTTCGCGAAACTCGTTCAGCGATAGTTAAACGCATTACCCTAATCAAGCCATAAAACCATGCTCTAAAACCTCTTTACTTTTCTGTAAAACTGCTCGTAGAGTTTATTGAAGGCATACTGGCTTCCAAGTTTATAGCAGCTGGCCCAACCACGGCTAACTATGTTATAAAAGAGGACGAAAGCAGCTGATGGTTAATCCTGCTGTGAAGATTGGATTGAACTTAGCCTATGACGATACAAATTCTTTATCAAGTTAATGCGACGTTATGGGGGCTCTATAGGGTGTTCATTTTAGAAAGGTTTTAAGCTTCGTCGGAGTTTCGTGTACGGTAGCGAACCTAGGATTCGGCGCGTGACCCAAAAGAACTTCTATTCTCACCGTGAACACTTTCGACATATCGGCAAATAAGAATGACAACAACTGCTATTCGCACTATCTCTCGACTTGCCTGTCATTTTTCGCCTAATTGGCGACTGCGAGAGCCAACACTACCGCCGCTTGTGTCATAAGGTGCGTCATGGAGACTCGATCGCGTTAATTTTGGCTTGCGTCATAAGCTGCGTCATAAAGATTCGGTCGTGCTAATTTTGGTTTGCGTCATAAGGTGCGTCATGGAGACTCGATCGCGTTAATTTTGGCTGGCGTCATAGGGTGCGTCACAGTGTCTCAATCTTATTAATTTTGGTTTGTGTCATAAGGTGCGTCAAGAAGATTCTATCATGTTAAGTTTGGCTTGTGTCATAAGGTGCGTCATGGAGACTCGATCGCGTTAATTTTGGCTGGCGTCATAGGGTGCGTCACAGTGTCTCAATCTTATTAATTTTGGTTTGTGTCATAAGGTGCGTCAAGAAGATTCTATCATGTTAAGTTTGGCTTGTGTCATAAGGTGCGTCATGGAGACTCGATCGCGTTAATTTTGGCTTGCGTCATAAGCTGCGTCATAAAGATTCGGTCGTGCTAATTTTGGTTTGCGTCATACGGTGCGTCACGAAGACTCGATCGTGCTAATTTTGGTTTGCGTCATGAGGTGCGTTATGAAGACTCGATCGTGCTAATTTTGGTTTGCGTCATAAGGTGCGTCATAAAGATTCGTTCGTGCTAAGTTTGGTTTGCGTCATACGGTGCGTCATGGAGACTCGATCGCGTTAATTTTGGCTTGCGTCATAAGCTGCGTCATGAAGACTCGATCGTGCTAATTTTGGTTTGCGTCATAAGGTGCGTCATAAAGATTCGTTCGTGCTAAGTTTGGTTTGCGTCATACGGTGCGTCATGGAGACTCGATCGCGTTAATTTTGGCTTGCGTCATAAGCTGCGTCATAAAGATTCGGTCGTGCTAATTTTGGTTTGCGTCATAAGGTGCGTCATAATGATTCGTCCGTACTAATTTTAGTTTGCATCGTAAGGTGCGTCATAAATATTCGTTCGTGCTAATTTTGGTTTGCGTCATAAGGTGCGTCATGAAGACTCAATCGTCTTAATTTTAGTTTCCCTCATAAGGTGTGCCATAAAGATTCGTCCGTGCTAATTTTAGTTTGCATCATAAGGTGCGTCATAAATATTCGATCGTGCTAATTTTGGTTTGCGTCATAAAGTGCGTCATGAAGACTCGGTCGCGTTAATTTGGTAGTGCGTCATAAGTACTCCATGATGCTAATTTTTCTTTGCGTCATAGGATGTGTCACGATGACTTAATCAGGATAATTTTGATTTGCGTCATAAGGTGCGTCACTAATATATATAGTTTATTTCAATATATAAGACGTTGCTTATCTTCATATACAAGAACATTATTTATCTTAGTATTTAAGATACGGTCTATCTTGAACGCTGAGTTCCGTCGCCATATTGTTTAGAAAGCGCGGTAAATTCAAACGTACAGTTTCATAGAACACTGTATAACAAAGTCAACGATGTTTAATAACAAAAGAAACGAAACTGGATAAAATATAAAAATTAACAAACTTAAGAGGTAGATTCAACACACAGTGATTAACCTGTTAAAACGAATATCTAAATTTGAAATTAAATAACACATGTGCAAACAATTTATTTATTACATAAATTCTTGCTCAAATCAAATTCAACTAAATAGCTCAACAGCTAACAAAATTTTTGGTATCAAAATAATTTTTTTATCAAATACATTATTATTTAAATAACCCCACCTTATTATTTAGATTTATAAAATTTATTTATATAATTGTATTTGCAAATTTTGTAAATTTTATTCATAAATTTTGTCAACTTCACTCATAAACTTTATCTCCAAATTTCATTAAACTTGCTTGTAAATTATATTCATAAATTCTGTTAGTCATAATTTCACTTGTAAATAGTACTTGCACAATTTTATTTTCAAATGCATATACTTATACATAAATCTGATTTGTATAAAAGTTCACTTTTTACGTGCAAATTTTATAAGATATATTTGCATACTTTCATTTATAAATTTTATTTGTAAATTTTATTTACATAATCCTATTTACAAATTTTTTTCATAACTCCGAATACCAACCCCCAAATTTAATCTGCATCTCGCTCGATACGAAACTTGAAATTTTAAACCCGATTTTGAAATTAATATTATCATATAGAAATTCCCGTAATATTTCTCGTCTATTTCGATATTGTCCCAGATTTCCCTCGCGAAATATTTGATTTTCCTTTTCATACGCTCGCTTCGTAAACACCGTTAAATATTGCGAACGTCCAAAAAAATCGAACGAAATAGGGGATTAAAAGCACGTTGTTTAAATACTTGAAGCGAAATTATTATTTAGTTCGTAAATCCGCGCTGTTTGCAATGAAAATGTTATACGATCCGTGAAATCATGTAACCGGGAAACTGTTTATTATTCGTAGACCAATATTGAAATCCCGAAAAGTTCGCACATAAAATAACGAAATACGCATAATTTTTTAGGAGCGCCGATATACCTCGAGTATTTTTCAGCTTTTCACTAGCGACGGACGCTGATTAATTTCCGTACGTGACTTAATTAACGAATTTCAAATGAAACGCTGGTTGAATTGCAAATTTTTGTGGTTATCGATCTTTCGAGTTATTATACTAATTAATGCTGCGATGTCGTGCGAATTCTCGTTAAGATAGCCTACAGATTGGTAACAAAATATTTCCCCGTTATTATTTTACTTGGAAACTATTATAATTGCGATATCATTCGTAATTGCGTTGAAAAAATATTTTATTTCTATGTGGTTTTATATATAAAAAAAAAATATATAATATTTTATAAAATATCTGAGATCAAACTGTTAAAAATTTTTTTTTTTGGTAATTGTTATTAATATATTGTTTGTAATATTTAGGAGAATTATTAAGATTGAATAGTTACAAATACAGTGAAGTACAGTAGGCTCTCGTTATATTGCCAGTATCCTACTGTAGCAATAAAAAATTTGCGAGATCTGTGATATGATTTGAGTAAATATTTAAGATAAGAAAATTAAAAAATTCTCAAAATAATTTAATAAACATAGGCACATAATGATTTGTTTTGTAATATAAATTTAAACAAACATTATAATAAAGAATCCTAGACACGAGTGTATATTGTCTAGTAATAAATACTCAGTTAAATTTTTTCTTATATTCAAGCTTTAATTTTATTATCAGAATTTGAATATCGCGCCAAATGTCCCAGTCAAATGAATCGAGTGTGCGCACCACTTCGACGCAGTATACGAAACGCGCATGCGCACCACTTCGACGCAGTATAGAAACGCGCATGCGCACAGCGAGCAACTATGGCGGACGCCGTAAGACAAAGATCGGTTTAAATTCAGTAACTTAAGGGCGGCAATACCTTTAGAATCTTAAAAAATTACAAAATTTTTTTCTATAAAATGTTAGTGTAACATCTTAAAAATATTGTCTCAAAATTTTCAAGTGAAATACGAAGTCCTTTTGAAGTTATGGCCGATTAGCGCCGCGGGTATACACGCGTTCAGTGCGGAGGACTGAAACTTTAAACGCGTTTTTCTCAAAACTACGTTCTTAACATTGCCGTGGCTGATAACTCAAAAACTAGTTTATCAATCGCGCTCAAATTTTTTCCACATATCCATGACAATACTATCTAACATATGAACCTAAATGTATGAAATGAATTGAACATTAAAGTCCTTTTTATTGCAAAACATTGCAAAAATTTTCAATAAAATTCAAAGTTTTTCTTTAAAAGCGCGCCATTTCTTCAATTTTACATATTTTGCACGTTTCTGAGGTTCATCTACTAACTGTGAATGTTAGTTTTCGAAACATTGTCTGCAAACTTGCTTCGGACCAATATATCTTCCGCTAGAACCCACGCCGATTCACGAGACGCGGCAAAACACTTCCAGAAAGGATTATCATAATTCCGGCATTTTGAAATATTTTGCAAAACAGAAAATATTCTGTAATAGACAATAGTTATAATAAATTATACCTGAAATTTCGAAAATGCAAAACAAAGGTGTTCTATACAAAAAAAATTCACAAATATCAGCTTATTTTCATCTGTCTAAAGGTATTGCCCCCCTTAAATTAATATAATTTAATTATTAAGTGTAATTTATTATATATTATTACATTATTTTTATTTCATACCAAGTATAATATTGTTTTTATTTTCTCTGAGGTATATAATATTTTATTATCTATTATATTATTATTATGTATTATATATGTAACATTATTATTAACATTATTATATATGTACTTATACTTTGCATAAAATAAATAATACGTAATAACAACAAAATAAATAATACATAACAATAATATAATAGACAATAAAATATTATATACCTCACAGAAAATAAAAACAATATCACACTTAATATGAAATAAGAATAATGTCTCAAACAGTGGCCACCTGTTCAATACACATGTGTGCACAACAAATCTCACACCCTTTCACATCTGTGCTTTGCATTCTCCAAAATGTAGGATCAACAAAGTTTGCACCACGGGTAATCTCCCACCCTCGTATTCGTAATAAAGGGTGGAAAAAGGGTTGTTTGTATTTCCCACCGAGGGAAATGTGTGTCAACAACGGGACGTGCTTGACATGGCAAAGAAATGTTTTGATGAAAGCGGGAGAAACATCATTTTCTATATTAAGGAGGGTGCACATTATGACAGTAGGTAACTGGCACTAGTAGTTTTTCCAGCAGGTTGTTGAATTTTTGGGGTTCTTACTTTATATGTGCCGGAAATGTCGTTGAAAGAAAGGACAAGAAGAAGAAGAAGAGATACAAACTATTTTCTTTTAAGGGATTTTTAGAAAATTGCAAAATTTGGAGGTGTGGAAATCTAGGAAATTTGTGGATTTAGGAATTTGGCAAACTTGGGAATTTGAAAACTTGGAAATTCAGTGAATTGAAGTCTAGGACCTTTTGAAGTTATGGCCGATTAGCGCCGCGGGTATACACGCGTTCAGTGCGGAGGACTGAAACTTTAAACGCGTTTTTTTCAAAACTACGTTCTTAAAATTGCCGTGGCTGATAACTCAAAAACTAGTTTATCAATCGCGCTCAAATTTTTTCCACATATCCATGACAATACTATCTAACATATGAACCTAAATGTATGAAATGAATTGAACATTAAAGTCCTTTTTATTGCAAAACATTGCAAAAATTTTCAATAAAATTCAAAGTTTTTCTTTAAAAGCGCGCCATTTCTTCAATTTTACATATTTTGCACGTTTCTGAGGTTCATCTACTAACTGTGAATGTTAGTTTTCGAAACATTGTCTGCAAACTTGCTTCGGACCAATATATCTTCCGCTAGAACCCACGCCGATTCACGAGACGCGGCAAAACACTTCCAGAAAGGATTATCATAATTCCGGCATTTTGAAATATTTTGCAAAACAGAAAATATTCTGTAATAGACAATAGTTATAATAAATTATACCTGAAATTTCGAAAATGCAAAACAAAGGTGTTCTATACAAAAAAAATTCACAAATATCAGCTTATTTTCATCTGTCTAAAGGTATTGCCCCCTTAAAATTTACTTGAATTTAAATTTCCCGCCCTGCACGACCAATATAAACATGTTCCAAACATCAGAGTGTCGTAGTACCGCAACTCTACGCTCTCCTGTCATATTTATACGGTCTCTTCATTTTCGTTTGTTCACAAAATATCTGCCATATTCTTCAGTGCCATCGAATCATGGCATCAGCACTCATGTATTATATACAAAGTCTGCGCACGGCGGTTTCCAAAGTATCTATATACGTTGGTCGACAGCGGCACTTAAAATAAAAAAAAGCGGGAATCTACTTCGATGATTTATTATGTTTTTCCTGTGGAACACCCTAAAAACCATATTTCCTGGTGACGTATGTGTATATACACAGAGAAGCAGGTTCCGCGCGAAAGGGTTCGATACTGGTTTCACGAGGTTGTAGTTCTATGAAAAAATTGATAGGCCGGGGAAAAAAATGTGTACATGCTTGACACATGAGGGGCGAAGCTTTCTGGATTTATATGGATGGCACTTTGGGGATTTGGGAAGCTGCGAATTTGGGGAGGTGAGGATGCGGAAATTTGGGGATTTAGGGAATTGGAGATGGGGCAGTTTTGTAATTTCAAAATTTGGGAATTTACGGATTCAAGGATTTGAAGATTTTGAGATAAAAATAATGATTTTTTGCACAAAAGAAAAATTGAAAATTCTAAAAATAATTGAATACTTCAACCTTTATTAAATTGACATAACATATAGTATATTATAAAGTAAAAAAATTGATTTTTCCATGGCATGTTTGCGTCAATACATCTAGCGTGTCTTTTTATTTGTTTTCCCAGGTACCGGGACGACGAAGAGTTAGTTTTAACCGACGACCACTACGAAGGTGGAATCACAGAACAAACAGCCCTTACCGTGAAAAATGCGACACCTAGTGACATGGGCTCTTACAGGTGCACTCTATACAATAATGTTGGTTCATCCGTTTCGGAGGACACCGTTCAAGTCTCCGTATTCTGTAAGTGTTTCAACGCCGTTCACTCACATCGTTCAGTACCTTTGTTTTCTTCATTTACCGAAATCTTTAACTTGATCGCACGGATGATCAGTTAGATATGTGATTTATGTGCATATAGTATGTGCAAGTATAGTTGTGAGTGTATACGATTATAGAAGTATGGTTGCGACCATAAACAACTATAGAAGTATGGTTTTAACTATAATCAACTATAAAAGTATACTTGTTAGTATAATGAATAGTGGAAGCATAGTTTTCACTGTGGTTACTTATACAAGTATGAGTTTAATTATAAAGTAACTATACAAATATAGTTGCAACTATAATGAGCTATACAAGTATAGTTATGACTGCAATGAATAGTAGAAGTATAGTTTTAACTGTGACTAATTATACAAGCTTGAGTTTGACTGTAAAGAAATTATACAAATATAGTTGCAACTATAATCAGCTTTACAAGTATAGTTGTGACTGCAATGAATAGTAGAAGCATAGTTTTGACTGTGATTAATTATTCAAGCTTGAGTTTAACTATAAAGAAACTATACAAATATAATTGTAACTATAATCAGCAGTACAAGTATAGTAGTGACTTCAATGAATAGAGGAAGCATAGTTTTGACTGCGACTGTAATTATACAAGCTTGAGTTTAACTATAAAGAAACTATACAAATATAATTATAACTATAATCAGCAGTACAAGTACAGTTGTGACTACAATGAATAGTAGAAGCATAGTTTTGACTGTGATTAATTATTCAAGCTTGAGTTTAACTATAAAGAAACTATACAAATATAATTATAACTATAATCAGCAGTACAAGTACAGTTGTGACTACAATGAATAGTAGAAGCATAGTTTTGACTGTGATTAATTATTCAAGCTTGAGTTTAACTATAAAGAAACTATACAAATATAATTATAACTATAATCAGCAGTACAAGTACAGTTGTGACTACAATGAATAGTAGAAGCATAGTTTTGACTGTGATTAATTATTCAAGCTTGAGTTTAACTATAAAGAAACTATACAAATATAATTATAACTATAATCAGCAGTACAAGTACAGTTGTGACTACAATGAATAGTAGAAGCATAGTTTTGACTGTGATTAATTATTCAAGCTTGAGTTTAACTATAAAGAAACTATACAAATATAATTGTAACTATAATCAGCAGTACAAGTATAGTAGTGACTTCAATGAACAGCAGAAGTATAGTTTTGACTGCGACTGTAATTATACAAGCTTGAGTTTAACTATAAAAAACTATACAAATATAATTACAACTATAATCAGCTATACAAGTATAGTTGTGACTTCAATGAACAGCAGAAATATAGTTCTGACTGTGACTGTAATTATACAAGCTTGAGTTTAACTATAAAAATAACTATACAAATATAATTGCAAGTATAATCAGCTTTACAAGTATAGTAGTGACTTCAATGAACAGCAGAAGTATAGTTTTGACTGTAACTGTAATTATACAAGCTTGAGATACACTCTAAAGAAACTATATTAATGTAGCTGTAACTGTAAACAATTATATTAATATAGTTTCAACTATAAACAATTATATTAATATAGTTGCAACTATAAGCGATTATACTAATATAGTTTTAACTACATTCATTTATACTAGTAGTTTTGACCATAAGTCACTATACAAGCATATTATTCACTATGACCAATTATGCAACTATAGTATTAACTATAAGCAGCAATACATATATAATTGCAACTATAGTCAACTATGAAAGCACAGTTGTAACTATAGTTAACTATCCAAGCATGTCTATGACGAAATATACAAGTACAATTATAACTACAAGCAACTATGTTAACATAGTTATGACTGTACTCAACTGTGCAAGTATACTTACAACTATAATCTACTATACTAGCATTGTTATAGCTATAATCGACTATAGGAGCATAGTTCTGACTGTGTCAATTATGCAGTCATAATTCTGACTATAAGTTACTATACTAATATATTAGCAACTATAATCAACTATTAAAGTATAGTCGTGACTATAATTATAAAAGTAGAATTAGAATTGCAATCAACTATTGAAGTAAAGTTGTAACTATAACTAATTATACGCTACTATACTAATATATTAGCAACTATAATCAACTATAAAAGTATAGTCGTGACTATAATCATCAAAGTAGAATTAGAATTGCAATCAACTATTGAAGTAAAGTCGTAACTATAACTAATTATACAATTATTGTTTTGATTGCGAGCAATACGAGTATAGTTGTAACTATAAGTCTATTTATGCAAGTATAGTTGTATCTGTAACAAACTGTGACAATCTAAATGGTATAGCAGTGCAATCTTTTAGTCATGTGGTAAAATAACTATACAATGTTATAGTGAAATGGTAAAATAGTAGCATAATAATTAATTACCCAGCTAAAATAACTGACTAGCACATTATAGTGAAATAGTAGTATAGTAGTAAAGCAACAGACTGTATGCCATCTCCAAGTCACCCAAATCAAATAATCACAGCCCAATGCAGCGTAGTTGACCTATAGACACGATTAATAATTGAAGCACTATAATTACGTCACTGTCGCATAGAACTAAAAATAATTACAAGATCGAGTCCATCCTCGTAAAAAGCATCGCTATTTCAAAGGATTCCTCCTAAAAAGCTCGAGTGTCGATAAAAATCGACAGTGTTATTTTCAACACGGTACCCGAACCTAACTCCAATTACGGATAATCGGTGTATCAATAAAATTCGACGGTCGTTGACCGGCGAAAATCTTGACGCTAAGCCCGCGTTCGGTGATCGATAACGAAGTTAAAAAGTTTATGATGGGAACGGTGGATGGATTACGTTCGGTAATGAAAAAGAAGAAAAAAGAAATGCAAGCGGTACGTATGTTCCGGCATTGGTTTTAAAGCGGTGCTCGCGAAAATTTATGGACGCATAAATATCGTTTACCGGAATAAAACGCGATAAATTGCCGTAATGCGAAACGGAACGGAACTGTTTTTCGAGTTATCCTTTCTACTCGTATCTGATGACGATCCTCGTTTATCATAACAATATCATAAGTTATTAATTTTTGTACAATGCAGTGCCTTCATTTTTTCACTTGTAATGGTAAAATTTTACTAATTTAAAATATTTTCGGGTATACAGTTGATAATAGTACAAGTATAAAGATATACAGTTAAAGTAGTAGTATAAATATAATAAAATAGTGCATAGTGTAAATGGAAGTGTAAATAGTAGCATAATGTAAATACAACGTAAAAGCGAATAGTACAAACAATAATAGAAATAAAATATTAGTATGAATAATAGAATGAATAATACTGTAAAGAAAATAATAGTACATAATATAATAGTCAAAATATTGTTGAACTTAGCGTTTGTTATAGTAGTATACAGTAACGTCTTTCGTAACTGCGCGCGATCACTTACGGTGAACGGTTCATTTCTGCAATGATTATGTTGAATATAGTCACAGTGCACAGCTACATATCTATATGCTCCACTAATCAACAACCACCTTGTGTTACAATAAAGTCACAGTAGTCACCTTTCGTAACTGCGCGCGATCAGTTATGGTGAACGGTTGATTTCTATACGTGATCAGTTACGCAAACAACGAAATTTGCAATGATTATGTTGAATATAGTCACAGTGCAAAGCTACATATCTATATGCTCCACTAACCAACATCACCTTGTGTTACAATAAAGTCACAGTAGTCACCTTTCGTAACTGCGCGCGATCAGTTATGGTGAACGGTTGATTTCTATAAGTAATTAGTTATAGTGACGAAGAAACATCGTGTAACCATTGTAGTTGCTACAGTTGCAGTCTAAAACACTATAAGCACATTCTCCAGTAATACTATTTTGAATTAAAGTAAAATTGCATTATCGGACCACCCCTGGTAACTGCGTGCGATCAGTTACTGCGAACAGTTGATTTCTATGCGTGATCACATGCACTGACACAGTGCAAAACATACTTACATGCTCCACTTCTGAAAAACCACTTTGCAATTAGATTAAAGTTACATGAATCGACCACCTTCCATAACTGCGCGCACTCAGTTACCGCGAACAGTTGACTTCTACACTTACGAACTTAAAAAAACATCGTACTCCACTCGATACAATAACAATTAAAAATTGTACATCCACGTTCTTATTCCCTAAACACCTGCACGTGTATAAACACATATACATGTAAACACATACGTATTATAGCTACATTAAACCGCACGTTTCTTCGAAATCAACTTCCCAAACTGTCGGAGCCAGTTCTCATTTACCGATCATCTATCGCAACTTCGCAGTGTAACTATTGTTCATTTTTGCACACAGACAAACCGGTAGTCGTAGTGGTAATGGATCCGGAAACACCGGTGAACGAAGCGGACCGCTTGAACGTTTCTCTGACTTGCGAAGTTGTTTCTGGAAATCCAGCAAGCCTGACCGCCGTCCGATGGTACTTGGACGGGGACCTGCTGAAAGAACTTCCGGATTGCACGAGAAATAGCACCGCGACCACCACAACCACCGAGGAATCTTTAATTTTCTGCGATATCGATCCGAGCAAGCTGCTGCTGGAAGCGGTGGGTCGTTCCTTTCATGGGAATTACTCTTGCGAGGGCAGGAACGATGCTGGTTGGGGGCCACTTTCAATGAGTGCACCTGTCGTAGTCCATTGTAAGTTTCTTTTCATTTTCTCTCTCTTCATATGGCGTTTGTGATTTCATTTGTATAGGACGCTTGTTTTGGAATTCACGCTAGTTTCTACTGTTTTGAATGGTTTTTTAATTTCGTTGTTCATTATATTTATGATATACAGGCTTATTACGAATTTCATTTGTAATGAAGAATTTATTATGGAAAATCATGGGAGGTCCAAGATGTGATGTTCACGTAAAAACACTCTGAATATTAAATTAAACGCGTTTTATTATTTTTATGCGTTTGGAATTCGATGAAAATTTGGTATGAAGAACTTGTGTAGAAAGACAGTTCTGTAGATCTGAAACTTCTGAGACCAAAAGTTGATAGCAAAAGTTGGTAGATTTATGAGTTTGTGAATTTGTGAATATCTAATATTCGCCTCAACCAAGCTTTTTAATGTAATTCATATTTTCTGCCACATAATTTAGTCTAAAGATGAATAGTGAATACTAAATTGTTTGAAACTAAAAAAGCAGTGTTATATAACATATATCACATATCACATTTAATATACCATGTATCACATATCATGTATCACATATCATGTATTACATATCATGTGTCACATATCATGTATCACATATCATGTATCACATATCATGTATCACATATCATGTATCACATATCATGTATCACATATCATGTATCACATATCATGTATCACATATCATGTATCACATATCATGTATCACATATCATGTATCACATATCATGTATCACATATCATGTATCACATATCATGTATCACATATCATGTATCACATATCATGTATCACATATCATGTATCACATATCATGTATCACATATCATGTATCACATATCATGTATCACATATCATGTATCACATATCATGTATCACATATCATGTATCACATATCATGTATCACATATCATGTATCACATATCATGTATCACATATCATGTATCACATATCATGTATCACATATCATGTATCACATATCATGTATCACATATCATGTATCACATATCATGTATTAGATATCATGTATCGGATATCATGTATTAGATATCATGTATCGGATATCATGTATTAGATATCATGTATCGGATATCAT